ACGAAGATGCACCTTTGGAATTTGATCCGGCATATCCACCGTTAGAGAAATGGACAGGACTCATCCGAAAGATCAAGTCATTGGGAATCCTCAAGATGGGTTATTAACAAGAGTTCAAATTCGTGCAAAGAATGAGGTATTAAATACTTATCAAGAATTTTGCATGTTCAATGTTTTCATCTCAAAAATTGAACCAAAGACAGTTAAGGTTGCAATGGAACACTCAGATTGGGTTGTTGCAATGCAATCCAAACTGGCTGAATTCGATTAAAACAAGGTTTGGAGATTAATTCCTAAACCTGAAAATGTTTCTATTGTCGGGTTAAAATGGATTTTCAAAAACAAAACCGACAAGGATGAAAATATTGTACGAAATAAAGCACGACTAGTTGTAAAAGGATATTCGCAAAAGAAGGGATTGATTATGAAGAAACCTTTGCCCCTGTTGCAAGACTCGAGGCTGTTCGAATATTTTTAGCTTATGCAGCTCATAAGGATTTCGATGTCTATCAAATGGATATGAAATGTGTGTTTCTCAATGGTGAACTCGAAGAAACTGTTTACGTTGAACAACCTCCAGGTTTCGTAAATGAAATGCATCCTGATCATGTGTACATTTTAGATAAAGCTGTATATGGGTTTAAAACAAGCACCAAGAGCATGGTATGCAACTCTTACCAGTTTCTTAAAACAGTCGAAATTTAAACAAGGATCAGTTGACCCCACATTATTTCGAAAGAAAGTTGGGAATCATCTAATGCTTGTTCAAATTTATGTCGACGATATTATTTTTGGCTCTACTGACCCTGCTTTGTCTAGTGAATTTGAAAATTTGATGAAAACCCAGTTCGAAATGAGCATGATGGGTAAAATCAATAATTTTCTTGGCTTAAACATTTATCAAAGCAGAGAAGGCATTTTCATCAATCAGGAAAAATATACAAGGAATTTGCTCGAAAAATTTGGAATGACAAATAGCACGAAGTTAAGAGTACCAATGGCGGTTGGCATAAGGCTATCACCTTCGTTAGAAACGCCTGCGGTTGATCTTACCTTGTACAGGAGCATGATAGGTTCATTGCTTTATCTTACTGGAAGTAGACCTGATATCATGTTTCCTGTATGTAATTGTGCTACGTATCAAGCAAATCCACGAGAACCATATTTAACTGCTATGAAGAATATCTTTTGTTATCTCAAGGGAACAATTTCATTAGGATTGCGGTATCCTTCGATATCAGGATTCTTCATTCAGGCATTTTCAAATGCAGATCTTGGAGGGTGTACTTTGGATCGAAAAAGCACAAGTGGTGGTTGTCAATTTCTGGATGGAAAGTTGGTTAGTTGGCAGTCGAAGAAGCAGACGTGTGTTTCGATTTCTACTGCTGAAGTTGAATATGTTGCAGCTACTGCTTGTACATCACAAATTATTTGGATCCAGAGTCAGTTGAGAGATTATGCCATTAATATGAAAAAGATTCCATTGTACTGTGATTCACAAAGTGTTATACGTATTTGTCATAATCCAGTACAACATTCGAAAACAAAACATATTGCTCTTTGTTATCATTTTATCAAAGATCATGTGGAAGATGGCAACATTGAAGTCTATTTTGTAAAAACAACTGATCAGCTTGCTGATATTTTTACAAAAGCTTTGGATGAAAAATCATTTGTTCGAATTTTGACAGGATTGGGAATGATCGAAGCATGTTCAGTTCCAGGAATGTTTTCGAATGTATAACAACGAAGTGTTATACAAATGTGTCGATTCAGAGGTCATCATGATTCATTCAGAGGCTGATAGTATTAACCATTTCAGAGGTTACTGTTCCTAGTCAACACTTCGACATGCTTCGTCTTCGTTACATTAAGGATTTTGGCTCTTGGGATACACATTTTCGTTAGTTTGTCAAATTTTTGTCTAATTGTCAAAGTTTCGTTTGTTTAACAAATTTTTGATAGTTTTTAAGATATTCGTTAGATTTCCAAATTTTTCATTAGTATCTTAGTTTTATTTTCAAAAAATCAAAAACTATAAAAAGATTTTATTTTTGTTTTGTCATTCTATTTAAAAAAAATCACAAAATCCAAAAAGATTTTCTTTTGTTAATTGTCTTTTTTTTCGAAAAACTTACAAAAACACAAAAATATTTCACTACTAGAAAAAAGGCCTTTAATGACACGCAATTTATGACGCGCATGGATTTACGATACGCAAAAGTGTGTAACGTAAAAATAATGTCATCTCTCCAAAATTTTGAAGGATTTAGGACGCGCATTTGTGCGCGCCCTAGATTTTGTGTCAGAAAAAAATAAAAATAAAAACACGGAAGACACCCATCATAAGCGCGTGTCCTGTGCACCATGTCGCTTTATAATTATTAAACATGCGTTCCTATTACAAAATGGGGAACAAAACTAGGGCTTTTTTTTTCAAGAACGTCACGAGGACTATCATTCTCTCATATCTCACATCCTTCATCTCTGCCCTAACCCACTACCACCGCCTCCAACACTCACCGTCTCTTTTGGACTCACACAGCGGCAGCGCACCGGCCCTATCGACGAACGCTTCATCCACCACCATGTTGCACTGCCAACGCCTGTATCGGTCCTGAAGCATCACATATGGCAGAATCGAATCCAAATCTGTTCTGGATAAGATTCAAGGTGAATTCATATTTCCTTGGGTAGGGTTACCTCAGTATACCAGCTTCGCCTCCAATATTTTCTCCATTCAAAAAACTGCTACTAATTCTCACCACTGTTTCCAACAACGATTCCCCGGTAGTGGCCGGTACCCTGTTTTCTTCTCCACCCTTTTCCTTGCGACACTTTGATCCTTAAGTAGGCCTAGACTGCTTTGGTACGAACCCTAAATAGTTCTATTTTATCTTTTGCATTTCAGCACAAAATCATTCTCTTCTTCATCCAGATTTGTCTTCTTCACCGTCATGGCATTTTTTCTTTTTCTTGTTTTAGGGTGCCAGTCCTTTTATGTAACATCGAAGTTGATGGAGAAATTTAAAACCATAGAGGATGCTAGCGATAGGTGTTTTCTTACCCTTTATACTTAATTTCAATTACTTTTCCAGTTTTCCTCTGGTAAATAAATATATGGTTTTTGAACATCAACAATTTTCCCTCCTTAATTTATTCAGAGACATATATTTCAGTTGCTTTTGATTTTTGTGTTTTTTCAACCTCGATGTATTATTGTTGATTTTTGGCATTTGATTGTTGAAGGGAAGGAAGAGGGATTACACAGTATTATTCCCTTCAAATGAGGACATGTGCAAAATCCCACATGATATTCACAGACAGGGCCATAAACCGAGTAGATAAATTTTGCACTTCAATTATGCTTTCATCTCTCTGGTAAGCGTTTTTCAATATAGGCAATGAATCATCTTTTTTACTCAATGTTCTTCATCTTCTAATCTAGGGGTTTTTATTCCTCTCATCCTTGCTAAAAATTCAATTTTGATGCTGATAATATACATTTTTCATTACAAACCACATCAGTTTTCATTTGAAATTTAAAAATAAAAAAACTAAAACTATTTTATGTCGTTGGATTCTTAAATGTAGAATTAACAAATGTATGATACATTCTTTGCAGGCATATAACTAAGATCCCTCTAGCTGTTTGTAAAAGGTCTTATAGAAGGCTCTCACATATAGTACAACCCAAACTAGAAATCCTTCGTTAGTAAGGTTCATATCAATGGGACATCATTTGTACAATATTCGTATGTGTCTTGTCCGGATGGGATTCCATGTTGCTAATTTTACATAATTCAAAGAATGCACTTGCACCTGATAAACTAGCGAGTTCTCACCGTGATCGCTCCCAATAGAGCTAAAAGGTTCTGATCGTTTCCTTTTTATTCCTCCTAAAAATATTTGAAAATTTCATTCATTTTTCAATTGTGTGTTCTGTATTGGGGCAATTTGCGGTCTTAATTAGGCATAAATGATCAATTTTTTCACAAGTTTATATAATTTTCTGTTATTCTACTAAAAGCTTTCAAAATAGCTTTTGTTTCTTATAAGTATATAGTATCTGTATGCTAGGGGTGTTTAAATTGCACATTTTGAAAGTAATCACGTGATTATTGGCACTTAGATCAATAATGTTTGAGTGACCTGGCTAACTGCCTTGTGAATATCATCATAGAATTATTGGTTTGATAATTAAGCTAGCATATTGAAATCAGTTACTAACTTTGAAATCATAATGGACCTAAATTAATTTACTATAATTTTGTTGGCGGTAGATGCTCCATGAGGGTACAAATGACTTTTCTCTAATAAAATATATATTCTCTGATAACAAAGAGATTTTCTTTGAATGTTTATCTGGTTATGTTGAATACTATTGAGTACCTTCCTCTCCTATAATCAATATGGACTACTTTAATTGGATATGAATTCAGACTTTCGGGTATTTATTGATCATCCAGAGAAAGAAGAAGGCCTTATGGTTGGGAACGCTAGCTAGCTCAAGTCAACTTCAACAACTTGTATGTTTTATTTGTTATATGACTACTAACTAAAACCTCAACTTTTAGTTTCATCATATAGTATGTCATATATGATATATGTACTCTACTCTACTTGCAACTTTATTTAAATTCATTCATGGATCTCGATTTTGATATATTATAGATATAAAGATTTTTTCTTTCTTTATTTCTTGGTTGGTGGTAGTTGTCAGAGCCTCAGATAGAGAGGGGTCAAGTTATGTTACCTTATTACCTTAAAGTAAATCATAATGTAACCTGCGAGTGTTTTGTTTGTAAATTGCATCTCAACTTTTGATAATGTCCCCGCCATTTCCCGTTGAACAGTTTCAGATCCTGTGTTGATTCTTGGTTCATTATCACTTTTTATTGGACATTAATTACAGGCATAAGAGATTATTGTTTACCTAAAGAAATAAGATGAAGTAAAGGTTCAAAATAATTAGCTTTGGCCGTTTTCACGATATTCTGATGAAGAATAGAGAGATTATCCAAGAGCTTTTTGGCATCAGTGGCAGCTTGAGGGTCATCACTACCAAATATGGTAACAAGAAGAAGTATGCAACCTTGACTACTCCCAATTATGTTTCTTGATTGTTATGGCCAAGTAATTTACTTATCATACTTTATATCATTCTATCGAAGCTATTTTAGTCTTTTTCTTATTAGTGTAAATTTTCAGACAAATTGCGACTGCTACTGGTCCATGTGGAAACAACAGAGACTACATTTTCTTTCTGGAGAAAGCTATTTTTGATATTGGTATGTTAATCTTCCCCTTGTCTTTTATTCTTTTTATTTATTTGTTAAATTACTTAATTGCCCTGTGTCAGCTTTTGTTTTTGCCCCACTAGATTCTTGCTTATCTCCTTGAAGCATATCTAAATTATGGTTTGTATATAATTAGGTCATGAAGACGACATGATGATAAAATTGGCAAATGAAGTGAGAAAAGTACTTGGAAACACGGGTTTAGGAATACCAAAAGAGAGCAACAACAGCAACAGCAACAACAATAGATTAACAGGACCTTCTCATAAACCCAAGTCACCTCATAAATTGCTTCATCTTGTTGAAGCAATTGCCATGGACACCTGACTTAAGATAATAGGAGAGAGGACAGAAGACAGGCATATATAACTTCATTCACTTAACTCCCACTGAAGCGGCTGGCCAATAACACGACGACACATCAACAACCTCATTTACTTCTCGTTTACGGCTGGCTAATATGGGTGCTCATGTAACAATAACACAGATGAAGTGATTTCTTTTAATAAGCACAATGTTAGACATGCTGGCTAGCATTTTTTTCAGTCTCTGCTTTGTGATTTTGCCTCACACTCTCACAGTATGAAAGTATAAATGAAGTTGTTTTTTTTTTTTGCCACTAACTTGAATGCAAAACAGGTGGTGGTTTAGATAAGCCAAACGAATGGGGATTTGATACTACACAGGTTGATAATATTCTCAAAAAGTTGAAAGTTGTAATTTCTTCAATTTTCTTCACCTGAGCCTGTTCTCTCTTTTTTTTTTAAAGTTTATTCACATAAATTATCTTATTAATCAAAATTTCATGTATATTTTGACAGCAAGCAACACAAACAAAACATGATGAAGGTATGCTTAAGTAACTGATTTGTAATCGTGATGAAGCTTTAGTATTTGTTAACTCATGATCCTTGTTTTCTTATCTCAGAGGATGATGATGAAGAAACAGACTTACCAAAGGACAATAGTGAAAAAACTACACGTCCCCAAGGAAGGTCATTTTCTTGCTCAAAATCGAATTTAATTCTAAATTATTCATTATATCCAAATTATTAATACATAGGTATATATTAATATATTATCAGATACAAGAGAAGGGAGATAGGAAAGCTTGTGAATGCATACTCTGCTCAGGATCTTGAAGCATCTGATATAAGCAAATGCGTGTTGATGCGCGTCGTACAAACTTCCTGCCTTTAGACCTGTTCAAATTCAAAATCTCCGTTTTACCAGACTTCACTAGTTGTTAAATAGCTTCTGTATGAAACAAACCTGTGTGTTTAGCCCCATTTTTTTTATATTATTATTATTATTTAATTATTTGATATTGTTTCTAATATTTTTTTGTATGAATATGTATGTATTGTCTCTTTTAGGCTGCTTCTCAAGTTCATAGAGGTCAATATTCAACTAGCTTTGTTGATGGTTTTGTATGATTATTAGACATTCGAACACTTGATAGGGATGTTTTCCATTTCATCTTAATTCTTTCACAGTTACTAAATTACCCATATAGGAATTCATGATTACTTAATTTAATGGTGATTTCCAATCTTTTTTGATTTCCAACATTCATCGCTCAAAAAATTGGATCTGTAGGTTGCTATTATTCCTCACAATTTAACCATATTTTTTCACTGTTATGCAGTTTTATGACAAGTTTAACATCCGCCATAACATCGTTGAACTTCTAGAATACCAAAATGCTTGGAAACAGGTAACTTTTTATTATTATGCCTCCAATAATTAGGTATAGAGCAGGAGAGGCTATGTGACTGGAAATCTTCATATTTTATTAACGAACCTATGGCATCCAATAAGTCGGAACAACTTGTATGAACAAGTTATGCAAAGAAAGCTTCACTACAAAAACATTCCACGTGGTTGAGTATAGTTATCGATGTGCTTTTAGGGAACCTTTTTGGCCTTACATTGCTGACACATGCAAATTCCGCTTGTTTGACTATTTTGACCTTCACTAGTGATGTTACAAACCACTAATAAGCTGTGCACGATTAATGGGAAACCCTACTTGTTTTAACTTGAACACTAAGCTTGCAGGAGTTCTTCACACTCTTTCTTTAAATTCAATTCAAATTTGGTCTACAGTATTAGGCTACATGCGTTTTCTTTTTTATTTTTTTTCATTAAAGTGTTAGCCATAACCTGGGTTATTTTTGGCAATACAACCCCTGTTGCACTAACACTTGACATGATTACTATCTCAACAACATATATATTCAACTCTACATTGGTTAATATCCCTCATTTATTTTAGGCAGATACAGGCAACAACGACATTGTGGCGTCATTTTTGGTAATCAACAATCTGACATCATTACCCTTGACTTGTTTAAAAATGGTACTGTTTGATGTTTTGAATTTTATTACAGGGGCAGAAGTGGAATTCACTTTGTGAGAGGTTAGATAGCTATGATTTGTTTTTTTGATTAAAGAAAAATGTATGTTTTTCTGTTTTTTTCTACTTAACAGACATTACACTGTTGAGATATTTCCTTGAGAGTTTCTTGACCCAACCAGGTATTGTTGCTGAAAAAAGCATGTTTTGCCTCTGTGATGGAAGCTTTTCCAATATATGCTCTACTTCTTCCTCAAAACCAACAACAAACATTTGATCAGATTCATCAAGAACCAAGAACTGAACCTCCACCAAATTTAGGGTGTTACTGTCAAAAAGATCAATAAGTCTTTCTGGTGTTCCAACATCACATCAACTCCACGAGACAATGCATTTTGCTGTGAATTATATGACACGCCACCATAGACACAAACAATGCTCAAATATGGAGCAGACTCTTGTTAGGATCGAGACACGAACACGAAACTCTCTCTCTCAGCTCACGAATTATAGATTAACAAGAACACAAAGATTTAAGGTGGTTCGGTCTATTTCTGACCTACGTCCACACGAGGGTAACTTGGAGTTTTTATTTATCTTCAGTGATGTTGGTTTTTCTTTTTATTTACAAAATACAGAGTAATCTCTTATATAGAGATGGAAATCAGAAGTAGTCAAAAAAAAAACACAGCCGGGTCTTCAACCAGACTTTAAGAAAAAAGCCTCAAAACATGGTCCGTAAGAACCGGATCACCATTCCTTTTTAATCAACATTTTTGACTAACTTTTCTGTGGATTCACACTCAACAATCTCCCACTTGAAGCCACGAAACAATCTTCACTTGTGCTTCAACTGTGCATCTGTATTTCTGTAAAACACTTTTGATCTTGACTCCATCCTAGTTACCCGGCCTTCTCTTCAATTATCCTGAAGGCCAGTTGAAGCTATGCAAAGCTTCAACTTTTCTAAGGTGACAACCTTAGTCAACATATCAGCTGGATTTTCAGTTCCTTTGATCTTATTCAACTTCAGAGTGCCATCATTAATTCTTTCTCTGATGAAGTGATATCTCAACTGTATGTGCTTTGTCTTCGAATGGAAGACGGGATTCTTTGCAAGATGAATTGCACTTTGATTGTCACAAAATAATGCACAATCATCTTGTTCTTTGCCAAGTTCGTTGAGAAAATTCTTCAACCATATAAGCTCTTTGCTTGCTTCAGCAACTGCCATATACTCTGCTTCTGTGGTTGAAAGGGCAACACTTTTCTGTAGTTTGGACATCCAACTTACTGCAGTGCCGCCCACTGTAAAGACATACCCTGTGGTGCTTTTGTATGAATCTTTACAACCACCAAGATCTGCATCTGCATAACCATTCAGAACTACGTCTTTTCCCTTAAAATTTAATGTCGTCTTTGAAGTCCCTTTCAAGTATCTCAACAACCATTTAACTGCTTCCCAATGTTCTCTTCTCGGATTGGACATGAATCTACTAACAACTCCCACTGCATGAGCTATATCTGGTCTCGTCCATACCATTGCATACATGAGGCTACCAACTACGGATGCATAAGGAACTTTAGCCATTTCTTTCTTGTCTTCATCTGATCTGGGTGACTGAGCTTTAGAAAGCTTAAAGTGACTTCCCAAAGGTGTGCTTCTGATCTTGGCATCTTTAAGGCTGAATTTCTCTAATACTTTCTCAAGGTACTTTTCTTGAGATAGTGTTAAAGAACCATCTTTGTTTCTGAATATACTCATCCCGAGTATTTGCTTTGCAGCTCCCAAGTCTTTCATTTCGAACTCTTCAGACATCTGTTTCTTCAACTTCTTGATCTCTGACATGTCTGAACCGGCAATCAACATATCATCTACATAGAGTAGTAGAATGATATAAGAACCCTTAAACTTCTTGATGTAACAACAATGATCATTGTCACATCTCTTGTAACCAACTTTTCTCATGAAGTTATCGAACTTCAAATACCATTGTCTGGGTGCTTGTTTCAGACCATACAAACTCTTCTTCAATTTACACACCAAGTTTCCTTTGCCTTTATCCTGAAAACCCTCTGGTTGTGTCATGTAAATGTCTTCATCTAGGTCACCGTGTAGAAAAGCTGTCTTGACATCTAGTTGCTCTAGATGCAAACTTTCTGCTGCTACAATACTGAGAACAAGTCTGATAGTGGTCATCTTCACTACTGGAGAGAATATTTCATTGAAATCAATTCCTTCTTTCTGTTGAAAGCCCTTGACTACTAATCTTGCTTTGTACCGTTTGGTACCATCATGTTCATCCTTGACCCTGAAAACCCATTTATTCTGAAGAGCCTTCTTCCCAACTGGAAGCTTTGTTAAGTGCCATGTGTTGTTCTTCTCAAGCGACTTCATTTCATCTTTCATTGCTAGCTCCCACTGCAATGAATCTTTCAACCCTATAGCTTCAGAGTAACACTGGGGTTCACCGTTTTCTGTCAAAAGAATGTAGTTGACAGATGGTGAGTATTTGTTTGGTGGTCTTGTGACTCTGGAAGATCTTCTTAGTTGAACTTGAGGTGTGACTGGGGACTCTGGAGTTGGAGGACTGGTTTCTTCATCTTCAGAATCATTACTGGAATTATCCCCTGAGCTCCCACTGTCAGTTGAATCATCCCCAGATTCAGGGATTTCGACTGGAGCTTCTTTCTTCTTTTCAACACCTTCAAACTCAACATACTCCTTCTGATCTTCTGGACTTTTGTTGTTTCTGTCTTTGTATAACTCGGCTTCGTTAAAGGTGACATTCTTGCTTCGGATTATCTTTCTGCTCTCACTATCCCAAAGCCTGTAACCCATTTCATCCGACCCATAACCAATGAATGTACACTTCTTGGTCTTTGAATCAAGTTTATCCCTGTCACCATCTTTTAACAAACTGTAAGCAGTACAACCAAAGACTTTCAGGTGTTTGAGACTTACTTCCTTCCCTTGCCACATTTCTTCTGGTAATTTAAAATCCAAGGGAACACACGGTGAACGGTTGATCAAGTAGGCTGCAGTATTAACTGCATCAGCCCAAAATGTCTTAGGTAAACCAGAATTCAACCTCATGCTTCTAGCCCTTTCATTCAGAGTTCTATTCATTCTTTCAGCTACACCATTCTGCTGAGGGGTTCCTGGGACCGTCTTGATCATCTTTATCCCTTGCTTGGCACAATAGTCAACAAACTCCTTGCTTATGTATTCACCACCATTATCCGACTTCAGGCATTTTACCTTCAAATCAGTTTCATTTTCAACAGCAGATTTCCATATCTTAAAAGTATCAAATACATCAGATTTATTTTTAAGAAAATAGACCCATACCTTGCGTGTTGAATCATCGATAAAGGTTACATAGTAGTTTTTGCCTCCTAGAGATGAAACTGGTGTTGGTCCAAATACATCCGAGTGAACAAGCTCCAACTTCTGAGCTTTCGGTGTCTTCCCCGTTTTTACAAAAGTAACCCGCTTTTGTTTCCCGAGAACACAAGATTCACAAAATTCAGTTTCGACTTTCTTCAAGTCTGGAAACTTTCCTTTCTGAGCCAACATCTTCAATCCCTTATCGCTCATGTGTCCGAGTCGTTGGTGCCATAAATTAGATGGACTCGGATTGGTGGTTACTGCATGAACACCATCACCAGGTATCTCTACCATGTATAGAGTGCCTTTCTTCTTTCCTTTGGCAATCACCAAGTTGCCTTTGATCACTTTCCATTGTCCACCCCCAAAGTGAACATCAAGTCCTTCATCATCCAACTTACCAACTGAAATCAACTTTCTCCTTAAGTTTGGGATAACCCTGACATCTTTCAATGTCCAGGTGGTTCCCATGGAGGTCTTCAAATCTACGTCTCCTATACCCGTAATATCAAGCACTTGATCATCGGCCAACTAACTTTGCCAAAGTCACCTGTTTGTAGGTTCTTGACCATATCTGGGCATGAGACAGCATGGAAAGAAGCACCCGAATCCATAATCCAGGATTCCATTGAGCTCTCAACACAGCATATGAGAAAATCTCCCGATTCTTCAGAGGATACATTGTGTACTTCTTTCTTTTCAGCTTGTGGTTTTGGACATTGGTTTCTAAAGTGACCTTTTTCTTTGCAATTCCAACATTCAATATCTTTTCGGTTCTTGGACTGCCCCCTTTTTCTAGACTTTGATCTGCCTCGACTACGTCCTCTTTCGTTTCTTCTTCCTCTACTTTCTGTATGCAATAAAGAACTAGAACTAGAATAGAAGTCTCACCATTGCTTCTCCGTCTGATATCTTCATTTACAATCAAGTCACGAATACTCTCGAAAGTGAGTTTAATAGTGCCGGATGCACTACTAACAGCTGTGACGGTGCCTGACCAACTATCGGGCAAAGATGATAAAAGGAGGAGCGCTTGTACTTCATCTTCAAACTTTATTGCAACTGAGGCTAAACGAGAGATAATCGAGTTAAACTCGTTTATGTGAGCGGTAACTGACATGCCTTCCTTCATTTTGGTGTTAACCAATTGTTTGATGAGGAACACTTTGTTGGAAGCGGACGGCTTCTCGTACATGTTGGACAAAGCCTTAAATACTCCATAAGTAGTTGTTTCATTAACAATGTTATACGCAACACTCTTTGCCAATGAAAGCCTAACTACACCCAAGGCTTGTCGATCCAACAACTTCCATTCTTCATCATACATGTCATCCGGTTGTTCGCCCAACATAGGCAAATGCAAACTTTTCTGATACAACATATCTTCAATTTGCATCTTCCAAAATCCATAATCGGTTCCATCAAACTTGTCAATTTTGATTTTACCATCTTCTGCCATTTTTGCAATTTTCTGAAAGAACAGGGACCTGTCTTGCAATTTTCTGAAACTTCAGGGACCAAATCTGAGTTTTTCAAATTCTGCTACAGTGACGCTACAGTGTCGCTACAGTGTCGTCTTCTCCGGCAGGTCTCCGGCGTACAGTGTCGTCTTCTCCGGCAAGGCTCCGGCGTACAGTGTCGTCTTCTCCGGCAAGGCTCCGGCGCTACAGTGTCGTCTTCTCCGACGAACTGGTTTTCCCGGTCACTATTCCGGCGAACCTTTGACCGGCGATTTGGACGTCTTCCGGTGGTCGAAAAATTCAGAAAAAAATATTTTCGGAATCTTCGGAACGAGACCTTTCCAACGGTATACACCAAAATCGTTTTTGACGAAAACAAATTTCGACCAAAAAACTAAAAATCACCTTCTGGAGCTAAACCAACGC